GGGAGTGAGACTGATGATGGCCCCAGCCCCTTCCAGGCAATTTCCTGAGCTCTCAGCCTGCAGAATGGGTCAGCCCAGCTGAGCCCCTGCCCACCATGCTGCACCTCTTGCACCAAACGCTGCCTCAGGAACTGGGGCTCCTCTGCTGGAGCAGGGAATCCTGGCGATGTCAGCCAGCACAGGAAAAATAGAGGGGGAAATGCCATTTTAGATTTTTCCCCCCATGGAAATTTCCTCTGTGATGACCAAGTCTGAAAAAAAAATCATAAAACCAGGGGAATGCTCTTGCATCCTTACCTCAGTCCTGTATTTGCTCTGCTGGTGCACAGGAGGTGCAGACAGCCCACAACACGAGGAGGGCGAAGGCTGCCCTCCAGCTGGGCAGGACACATCTCCCCCAGCTTATTAGTTAATATTACTAAATAAGGAAGCACTGAACATTTCCTACCAGCCCTATCTTGCAACCCTGGGGTGATTTCGACTGAATATTTGTGGTCCAGAAGTGAGCAAAATAAAGTCACCTTTCTCTTTTTAAAAAAATAATAAAAAAAGCTGTAAGGATTTGAAGGCTAAGGGGCACTCAGAAGGGTGAGCTCTCTCACTGGCTTCATGTCAGCCTCACCAGCTCACACCAGTCATGCTCTGGGGCCCAGCAGCTGACCCCAGGCATCCCTTCTTGGGACAGAGCCATAGATTAAATATAAAAAAACACCAACAGCACCCTGCAGGACCAGCACAGCTCAGGGAGGGGGCACCCAGGCAGGCTGGTGCTTCCCAGCATCTCCCCTTTCTGAAAATTTCTTGAATTTCTTCCCGGCCTCATCAGGCTGGAGCAGAGTAGCCAGTAAACAAACGGGGCATAAAGCAGCTAGCACTTCCAGCCTAATACCCAGCTGCACACTGACACAATTGGAGTCATCTGCGAGTAATTAGAAAATATAAACACTCGCAACAGAACTTGGGTTCCTATACTCAGCAAGACATTAATGGGCTTTTCTTCGGCCAGAAAATCCTTATTATGGTGATAAATTATTAGCCTTTTTTTTTCCTAAAGCAGCGTGAAGCGTTACAATGGAAAAATGACAAAAGGAGAAACATAACCCGTTTTGGGCAACGCTGGCGGGCACGGTGGAGCCAGAGCCTGCCCCCAGCACACACCGCCCTGCGGTTCTCCACTGGCTGCTATCACTACTCAGCACCCCCGGGCCAACGAGGCTGAAAACAGCTCTAGGATAAGAAGTGTCCCCACTCTGTAAGGGGATGGGGACCACAGGTGGGTCTCCCCAAGGTGTCACAACCCGTGGAGATGAGTGGGATGTGCCAGAAGCTGCTGGTGCCACCATGTGCCTGGGCAGCCTGGCAGCCAACCCAACATCATCCTACACATGTAGGGCCCCATATCCACGAGGTCAATGGAGATTAGGAAGGAGCCACACTGGTTTGGCTCCTGGAGGCATCCAGAGAAGTGTGATCTTCCCTCACCCTGAGATGATCCAGGGAAAACAACCTTTCCCATGGGGTATTCTGGTGCTGGCAGGGCTGGGGGTAGGTGACACAGGGTCTGTAAGCACATCAGAGCATCACCACGCTGAGCTTCATAACCACCTCCAGCCCAGAGAAGGGCTTCGCATCCTCTAGACCAAACATTTTTGTTGGAGACACTCCCCATTTCCAGCCCAACCCAACACCAGCCACCTCCAAAAGGCAAACCAAACCTGGGACCCCTTCCTTCAGTCCCCAATCCCACGAGCATCTCCCCCAGCAAGTCCCACGCGGGGTCCCCAATTACCACCGGTCCCCCCGTGCCGAATCACAGAGCCCTTCACGGGGCTTTGAGTGAAGGAACAGAACAAATGACTGCCGGGGGAGATATGGTTTGCATCATTTAATCACCATTTACAATAAAACGCCGCAGCGGCTCTGCGGAGGGTAAGACAGCAGAGTTCAGCAGATTTTATCAATAACATCGCAGGATTCCTACTGCGCGGCGCAGAGAGTTGCCATGGTTATCCTGACAGATTTACTATCATTGTAACTTAATGCACCATAATAAGTATCTGCATAGTTATTATTGTTTTACAATGATAACTATAATTCAACCGCAGCTTTATGACTAAATTTGTAACATTACTACGATGTTCTGGGAAGAATTGAAAGCAGGGCGATTCACATGCTTTCTCAGAATATGGGGAGAAAAAGAAATTCTGGTCGGGTTCTTTTTCTCTCCTTTTTGATTGCTTCTTTGAGAACAATTTTTGTGGTTTGGTTACTGTTGGTTTGGGACAGGGTGCTCTGTCAGAACCAATGCACAGAGGTAGCTGAAAAATGGGATTTTTTTTTTTTTCCACTGCACAATTGATCCTGGGAAAAAAAAAAATCCCCAAAGCCTTTCAACATAAAGCTGCTAAAAAATTCCCAAGCCTTGCCAGTTGGGAAACAGATACAAAGCGCTGGCAAGGCGAACAAAAATTGTCAGGTTTTGTTCAAAAGGAATGACCAGATCATCAAAAAATGTCACTGAAAACGACCCTGGTAATCAGTGGAAACAAAGCACTGCTAGGAGAAAAAAATAAAGCACTCTGGCAGCCCAGGGAGCTTTGGCACAGGGGATAGGACCCGTGCCAGGTGAGCCCCCTGTGATGCTGCCCATTTCACAAGTGGCATCTGGGCCACAGTCCCCCAAGGTCCCCATGGAAAGGGAAGGAGGAATGAACCCAAAATGAAGCTGGGATCTCCAGCCTGGTGCCCTGCACCCTCCTGGGAAAGCTCTCCCCCGCTGGAGGACTTAGCTCCTTCTTGGGTTTCATAGGAAGCGCCGCGCTGCCAATTACCCCACAAGTTTATAGGACGGCCTGGGTTTGTGCCCCCCTGCTCCGTCCTTGCAGTCTGCTCCATGGGCTCCAGGGGTGGTTAATGCTCCCTGCACACAGGAGGCAGCTCTGCTGCCGAGGCTGGGCAAATTAATGCAGAAAAAAGGGCTTTTTTTTTTCCAGCGCTTTCTCATTATCCACATTATTCTGCCCAGTGGAGCTTTAAGCTCAATTTATCAAGTTCATTTCCCAGACAGGAGCCCCGTTCCCTCTGCCTGGTGGCTCGCAGTGGCTGTGGGCAGAGCTTCAGGTCCCTGGGGAAAGGATCCTCAGCAGCTCCCCAGCTCCCACCTCCAACCTACTCCTGGGGTCTGGGGCTCAGAGCCTTCTGGGGTTCCCACCTCTGTTGCTTTCCTGGGTGATTTTTGGTCTTTTCCCAATTCTCATCCCAATTTGACCCCATTTCCCTGGTTCTGCATCCTACAGAATGGGACAATTGATGGTCTTTTTTCCAACCTAAAGGATTTTATCATTCTATCTATACTGGATATCAGGAAGAACTTCACACAACAGCTGGTTAGGCACTGCAGCGGGCTGCCCAGGGGAGTGGTAGAGTCACCATCCCTGGAAGTATTTGGAGACTTGTGGGTGTGGGACTCCAGGATATGATTTAGTGGTGGACTTCATAATGTTCAGCCCATGGTTGGACCTGACAATCTTATCCAACCTAGGACTTGATGGTCTTCTCCAACCCAGGTCACTCCACGATTCTACAAATCCCATCCCCTCCCAGAGCAGGCAGCAAACCTGGGGACTTCAGCAGTGTCCCCTTCTTCACAGGGATCCCCTAAAGCCCCCCCATCAGCAGAGGAAGGAGCGATGCTCCCCACGAGCCCAGGCTTACGTCACGTCCCCCCCGCCGCCATCTCCTGCTCCCGTGGCTGATATATGAGAGCAGATATAGGAAAATCTACTCATAAAATTAATGGAGGCTGCATGAACTCACAGATCATAAACTCAGAGGGGTTTGCAGCTTGCTTTTCGGGGCTGGGGGAGGAGGGCACGGAGGCAATTTAGCAGCAAGGACTAATTCGCAGCAGCTGTCCCATCACATCCCGCACCCCCTCATTGTGCTGGGGGAGATTTAGGGGAACACAGCCCCGAAACCTCCCAGGCACGGCGCTGGAGCTGGCACCCGTCAGCCTGAGGTCAGCTCGGTGGGGCTGAGCTGCTCCCTCCGCTCCCAGCCCAGGGCCGGTGGCCAAGCCGCGCTCTCAGGGCCAGGCCTCCTGCCCGGAGCATAAATCACTGGCAGCCAAGGCCAAAGCGTGTTTTGAGCATCACGAGCAGCTCCATCCCCTGCCCCAGGGCTGCAGGGATGACACACGGCTCGGGCCAGGGGCTGTGGGACACAGAGGGAGGAAGGGGAGCACGCACCACGCTGTGATCCAGCACCACAATGAGGACAAGGCCAATGGTGCTCCTCTAGCCCACGAGCACATGAAAATCCTCTCTGAGATCCTCTGCCAGGAGACATTTTGGGACCAAGGCTCCACTGTGGGCTCCCCAACACCTCCTTAGGGCTTATCCAGGGTCCCCTCAGCTGTCCCAGAGGAAATCCCAGCCCCAGCTTGAGGGCCCCATCCTGCCCAGAGGAGACAAGGACAGGCACAGGGCAGGGCCAGCACATCCCCATTGCCCACCTGCCCAGGGCAGCAGGTGAGTGGGGAGGAGGAGGAGGATGCAGCCTTCCTCCACACCAACAACACGGCAGTGAGGACCAGCCAGGCACCAAGACCCCCCCCAAACCATCACCTTCAAGGTAGAGAATGTCACTGCCCCCTCCCACTCCCAAAGCAGCCTCTTGGCCTGGCCCTGCTCTGGTTTTCTCTCCATGCCAAGGGCAATTTTTGCTCTTTTCCATCAAAAACTATCTTGGCACCCGGCAGCTGCCCCGACGGCTCCAGCAGCCGTGACTCAGAGCCCTGCCCTAACCTCAAGGCTCCACTGACTCAGAGGCAGTGACGAGCCTCAGCCCCAGCTGCGTGGGGGCCCTGGGGCTTCTTGAGAGGTTTGGAGACCAAGGGGAGCTGGGCAGAATCCATACTGAGCACCTCACCAGCTCCAGCACAAGCTGTACTCCTTAGGGCCCCCCCACAGGCATCCTAAGGTTCACCCCTTTCTGCATACCTGCTTTCCCATAGGGATGTCCCACAGCCTAAAAAGTGACACAGGATATAATCTTCATGCCTGGGTGCCCCCCTTCATCCCCTCCTCTCCTCATCCTCCTCCACCTCCTGCTGCTGCTGGTACTAAAGGGAGGATGAGCCTGCCTCCCTCCCCTTTTATAGGGCTAGGCATCCCTCAGGTGTCCCCATCAGCCTCCTGATGATGATGCCTGGCCCCAGGAGGGCCCTGCTGCCAACCCACCTGCATCCTGGGGGCTTCGTTCACTCCTCAGGTGCACGGGGTTCTCCAAAGGTGAAAAGGAGCAGGAGGGACAGGGCTAGCTCTGAGCCAAAGCTGGCATTTGAACAGACAGACAGACAGGCAGACAGGACTTGGTGCCCTCCCCAGACAGGACCCACAAGCTCTCAGACACGGTCTCCAAACCATCAGCATCCACATTGCCTCTCGGCTCCGGACAGCAGCTGATGGAGAGACATCTGTTCCCCATCCAGCCAGCAGCGTCTTCCTGATCTGCCTCTTAAAAATTACAAGGCAATTTGGAGTTTCTATTTTGTACTTTTGATTTGCCCAAACACCTGAAACATGAGCTCTCAATCCAGGATCAAAGGCTCTCTCTGGAGCAACACAGACGGCTATATCCACCGCCGTATTTATGCATGATTAGGAACGCCTGCATTGGAGACGGGATTTGGCACGGGTGCGTGCGCTGCAAAGCCCTGAAACTCCATCTCCTCCGGAGCAGAAGTCCCGTCAGGTCAGGGCTGGTGCCGGCTCCACGGGGCAGTGCTTTGCACAGGGGGTGGCCCCCCTGTGTCACTTGTCCCCCGGCGCTGCCACCCAGGACCCAGAGCTGGGATCTCGCCTCCTGGATTTGCTCCACCACTGGATGCAAAGGGACCTTGCGATGTGGACATGACCTACGATGTATGAGGCACCAGGGATGGTGCTAGGCCAAGCAAAGGGTTAATGATAATTAACACAAGTCGTTAATGAGCTGGAGGGGAGACCTTATGGGATGAACATATCCCCTCTGAGCAGGGCAGGGGGGACCTTGCTCCAGACCCATGGCTCAGAGGGATTCTGCTTCCTGGGGGGATTTATCTTCTCCTGAAGATAAAGTGCTTTGGAGGAGCAGGATGTGATCCCCGTGTAAGGGATCTGTAGGCAGGGCACGTTGTTTATGGGAAAGGCAGCAATAAAATCAGGAGGATATAAAGATGCCTGCCCTTACACAGGTAGCAGGCCAGGAAAACATCCACACGTGTCAGACAGAGGGATGCCTTTCCCTTCCGCTCTCCTCCTTTCAGATCAGTTCAAAACCTACGAAAATGCTATAAAATGCCAGATGCCTCTGCCTTACGGACAAAATCATCTTTGGAGAATGTGTAAGGCATCAGCTTAAGCTAAGGTTACCAGCCTAAGGCTGAGATCCCCTTAACTCTGCCCCTTTAGGTGGGAACCCGATGCCTCCCTCTGGGCTGCCACTGTTTGTGCCCAGGGTATGGGCAGCTTTCACCACGCCAATGCGTAAACCAGCACACACACTCTTATTAAAGCAAGCAACAGAGTCCCACACTCCTCTTCTTGGGAAATTGGTCGGGTTTCTTTGTGCCACAGTTTCCCCACACGCTGAGAAACCTTGGGAGCAGTGCCGGGAACAAGGCGCCCCACGGATCCCGGTGCGCTCCTTCCCCGCCGGTTCAGCACTGGGAACGAGCCGGGAAGAAATTTTGCCACAAATATTCACAGCAAATTATAAAGTCTTGGAAAAAGCCGATTTCAGTTCTACTGAGAAGTTTCTGTTTTGACAGATGTTTTAAGTATTTTTTTTTTTTTCAGGAATTTTATTTCTTATTGAAACCGAAGGAGGTCTTGAAACCGAAGGCTGGGCCAAGACAAAACTAAGAAACTTTCTGCTTTGAAAACGTCTAGGCAAAACGCTTCTCTTTTCACCCTGTTCCCCGTTTCAACAATTCAGGGAATGGAGAGGAATTTGCAGAATTTTGCCTTCTCTGAATCCGTCCTGTTTGCCCAGAAAACGTTCTGGCTGGGAAGCGCCTTTCATGCCCCATTGAACCCAGCTCCTTTGAACGCCCTGGAGCCAATGGGACCTCCACCTCCAGCGTCCCTCCGGTGTGGTTTCCACGTAAATTGGCTGAAACCGGAGCCTTCCTGGGCAGAGATTTTGCAAAGCCTTCAGGCTCCCAGCTCACCGAAGGCAGGGCAGCACCCAGGGCGATGTGTGCGCCCATGCCCACGTCCCCGGGGCGAGGCACCGAGGGCAAAATCCCACCACTGCCACCTCAGCCCTGGCTGCGTCCTGCACCCCTGGCTTGCTGCAGAGGTTTTGGGGTGCCCATAAAAATCCAGAGGTTTTGGGGGCTCAGTGTGACCCCAGGGTGCGGCGGCAGCTCCCGCTCGGCAGCGCGGCACACGTGCTGGCGAAAGGAAGCGTTAAAAGCCCGCCGCTGGAAACTGCGCGGCGCTATCCAGTGGGTAGCTGCTTTCCTTCAACGGGCCATAAAAATCCCATTTGGAAATGCAATTGCCTCGCTCCCCTCCTGCATCACGCTGCTATTTCAAGGGGGCCCGTCTAGCACATTAAAACGCAGGCGAAAAGGACCAGGATCTGCTGAACCTTAAAACAATTATTATTTTTCGCAAGCCGCGCTCCTTCCAACACTAACATTATTCTAAGATGCAGGTAACATGTGACACGTTTTCTTTTTCTCTCCAAAGTACAACACCCTTCCCTTCTTCTATCCCTCCTTCCCAAATATCAATCATCAGCAAAGACAAGGCAAATGAACTTTTAATCAATAACAGCTACTGTTTCTTGTACCGGGACTGTTTATGATTTAAAAGGGGGAAAAAAAAATTAAATCAATCCTGATGTGAACATTTTCCCACTTGGAAAAACAGCCCAATCCTATATCAAAAGGTTGTGTTTTTTTATATGTTTTTAAACGGTTTAAAAGCTAAATTAATTTTAAATTGTTTTTACATATCTTGCCTATAGACAGAACCACATCACATGATGAGGAAGGGTGGTCCATGGTTTATTAATGTTCCCAGTAAGTACTTTAGCACCAGTCTGTCTGCTTTATGCACATTTAATACTGCTGCCATCTAAGCATCAAGACTACCCTAACCGCAAGCGGCGCGGCGTGTCCGTCCCGGCGCTCGAGCTGGCAGCCTGTCCCCTGTGCGCCCAGCCCAGGTACAGAGCAGCACGCCTCTGGTATGTCTGCAGGCAGCCTCCCCTGTCCTAACGCCGGCGGGCAGGGTGGATCTGAGCCTCAACCACTTTTTTTTTTTAGTCGAGAAAGGACCAAGGAATGGCCCGGTCCCCCTGGCTGGGTGTGCTGGATGAATGTCCTAAACCAGTAACTGAAGAAGCAGGGGCTCGGACCCAAGCCTGGACCAAGGGAGGTGGACTTCTAACATCTTGGTACCTAAAGAGGGCAAGGCTGAAAGCAAGGGCTCCTAGTTTAATTTATTTTTCTGCCAAAGGCTTGAAGAACTAGGAGGCCGGGACTTCATTTTCACCTTCATACACCACGGCATTCGGAGTAGCTCCAATGGCAATGCTCGTCTCCAGCCCAGGTTTATCTGACCTTGAGAAATGAACCCAGGTGGTACATGCAAAGGCACCCACCAAATTTTATATGAACCACAGGCGGGTTCATTTGGTTTGTCTTGCTGGTAAATTCTTCTGACTTACCTGTGGATCCAGCAGCAGGAGCAGCTCCCTCCCTGCTGCTTCACCTTGCCCAGCACAGCCCAGTGCCTGACATGGAGGCAGTGGCAGTTTTTGGCCCCTCAAGGATGACTTGTAGGGGGAGGACGTTCCCCAGATGGCCGGGGGGAAGTGGCTTGGACACACATTCCTCAGGCCCCTGAGTCACTGGCCGGGGATGTCCCAGATGGAGAAGGCAGGACGTGGCCAGGCTGGCCCCAGGCAGGAGCGGTCCCAATGGTGCCAGGATCACGTCCCTCCCTGCTGACTCCTCACCGGGGTGTCCAGTAGGACACAGGGACAGATATCCCAGCAGGAAAAGTGTTTTCCATCTCCCTGTGAACACATTGCCCCCTGCCTTTACCAAGCATCTCCCCTCTGCCACCACCCTCACTCAGCATGCCATCCCCACGCTCCCTTCTTCAAGCTCTGGGGGACGGGGCATGTAAATTCTGACCTTTCCCTTGCTACCAGGGGATCGGTGGCTGAACCAGAGCCTGGACTCCGTTTCCTCGTCTCCTTCTTTTTTCCATGAGGTTTCTGTCCCCCAGTGAACATCTCATGCTTTTCTGTCCACCATGGCTATTATATCACCACCCCCATGACAAATGCAATCACCTCCCAGTCATGCAGCGAGGTGAGTCTTCACCTCGGACCTCTTTTCCCAGAGAAGAGGAAACATCAGGCAGCTTTTTAGGATCAGAACAGAAGAGAATAGAATAGATGTTTCTCCACTTAGGATTTTGCCAGACTTTAACTGGGCTCCAATTTTCCATGCTGGGTTTCTGCCTCCGGCTGTGTTTTGTTTTGTATTTGTCAAAAATTTCCATGACTCCATTTCCACCAGCCCTTTGAACAAGGTTTAGGGAGGTCTTGTCTCTTTTTTTTTTTTTTCTTTTGCCCATGTTAAAACATTATTACAACCACTTTACTGAGAAGCCGTGCTGCCTCCGGGCTTGGCAAGAAGTGTCCCTTGAGTGAGAAGACAGGCCTTTCTCCATCCTTGTGACAGCGCCCGAAGCCGGTCAGATCACGAGCCTCCGAAATAGCGGAGGCTGGCTGGAGCTTGGCACGCTGACGGGGGAAAAAGTCCATCTGCGCTGAGTACCCTCCGTCTTCTAGCAGGCTTCAATCAACGGTTTCACAACACCACATCAGCCAACTGCGTAAACACAGGGTGCTGCTTAAATATAGCCCTCGCCTTGAGGAACAATCAGTGCTGAAAGAGAAGAGCATCTTACACAAATAAACAGAGGTCCCGCAGAGCTCGAGCGTTTGGACCAAGGTCAACGGAGGGAATTTGTGATTGGGAAAATTATTGAACCTAAAACCGCACGCAAGCTTTCAGATATGGATTTTGTCTGCTGGGAAGTACTAATT